TACGGTTTGCCAGCCAGTTGCGAGTCCATCTAGTGGAGATGCTATCTATTCCACTTTTTTCTAGCTTACTAAGAAGTAGGTTGTGGTCTACTTTGTCAAATGCCTTTCTGAAATCTAAATATATTATATCCACAGTATTTTGCTGGTCTACTAATTTAGTCACTGTGTTGAAGAATGAAATAAGATTGGTTTGGCATGATGTCTTCTTAACAAACCCGTGCTGACTGCTAGTTATTACTTTACTTGTTTCTAGATGTTGGCAGATCTGGTTTTTTTTATTATCTTTTCCAGTATCTTCCTGGTATTGATATTAGGCTGATTGATCTATAGTTTCCTGGTTCTGTTTTTTTTTTTCCTCAGCTCTTTGCCAGTCCTCTGGTAGTTCCCCGGTGCTCCAGGATTTTTGAAAGATATGGTGCAGTGGTTCTGAGATGACCTCTGCCAGCTCCTTTAAAACTCTGGGAGGTAATCCATCAGGCCCCAGTGATTTGTTTTCATCAAGATCAGACAGGTGTTCTCTTACTATTTTTTTGCTTATTTTAACTTTTATTCTGGTCTGTCTTTTACAGTTACGTTTTTGGTGGGTTGAGCTATAGTTTCTTTTTGCGTGAAGACTGTTGCAAAGAATGAGTTAAGCAGTTCTGCTTTTTCTCTGTGGCCTGTTACTTCCTTGCCATCTTCTCTCTTTAGTGGACCGACTGTTTCCTTGATTTTTTTCTTGTTATTTATATGTTGCAGGAAACTTTTTTGTTATCTTTGACTTTTGTTGCAAGTCTTTGTTCGTTCTGAGCCTTTGCTTTCCTGACTTCGTCTTGGCAGATTCTGGCTATCTCCTGATATTCTGCCTTAGTTGTATATCCTTCTTTCCATTTTTTGTAGTTGTCCTTTTTTCTTTCAATTTGCTAGAGAGATGTTTGTGCAGCCATGCTGGTTTCTTCTTGGATTTCTTGTTTTTCTTTCTTGATCTGCTCTCTCATCTTGCTAAAATTGAAGCTTAGGTACAACCATTGTTAATACTCAATTTCAGTATGTTTGATCTTGGATCATCATAAATTGCAGTTGCATTGATTATAAGATGCATTTCTTATTGGCAAAGATAAATCTGCTTTGATATCGCCGAATTTTATCTTTGCATTGACTTTTCTTTCATTATTCTTTTAGCATAAATATGCAGATGGGCATTCATTCATTCATTTATTCTGCATCTTATAGAAGTTGTCAAAAATTAAGCTTGGGTTCACATTGGAATATGACATATCTGATTCATTGACATAATTCCCTGGTTTTTTATATCCTTCAAAAATCTGCAGATGTTTATCAAGAAAACCATGGTATGGATTGTTTTCTTGTTTTGGCTTGTGAGAATAAAGGAGGAATTCTGTTTAAATGGAAATCCAGATATAAATATTTGAGTTATTCCTTCTGTGAACCCTTAATGGACTTTTGCTGTTGAATAAGGGGACTTCAGGATTTCAAAATGGGTTTATAGAAAAATGGTGAGAAAAAGGATTGGAGATATATTTATTTTGGGGGGGAGGGTTTCCCCTGAATTTTTATGAGCACGCACACACACATACACACACAATGTATTTCTGTATTAGGATTTTATATTATTCTTATCTATTTGATAAAATCCTTAATAAATTTTTTAAAAAATCTTGTATCACTGAAATCGATTATTAATGTGAAAACTGCAATGCTATATGTGTAAATATCCAATTTAGATCATATTTTTTTAAAAAATCAGGGATCACAATTATTTTGTCAGAAAATTAATCTATTGAGATATATACAGATAATTCTTAACTTACAACTATAATTGACCTGAAATTATGGTTGTAAAATGTGGCCGTCATGAAATGGGTCACCAGGTAACTGCTCCTGATTTTACAGGTTTTTTTTGTGGTGATCAATAAGCAAACACGGTGGTTGTTTTGTCCCAATAGGTGGTTTTTGCTGGGAATCACAAGTAAATGGCGAATACTGGCAAAACCCACCAAAATGAAGTCAAGTGACCGTGGGACACTGCAAACGACTATAAATGAAAGCCAGTTTGCAAGTACCCAAAATGCAATCATGTGACTGGGGTGGGGGACTGTGGCCAACAGAACTTTGAAAATGGGTGGTACATAACTCTGGGAGGTCTGTCTTAACTTCGAATGGTTGCTAAGCAACCACTCATTAAATGAGTACCTGTGTGAATGAACATAACAGAATTACAATATAATTAACATAATCATGCTAGTGATGCTTAATGTAGAGAAATGAAACTTCTGTTATATTCAGTTCTGTAACACATTTTCAAGTAGGGAATTAAATATATTGGCAATACTGGGAAGCAGTTAGTCAGGTTACAATGGCAATTGGGAATAGAATTTTTATCTCAAAGTGATGTAAAATAGTTGTAAAACACAGAAAGACATGACTATATTTCTTAGCAACAGGGATCGTACAGTTCTGGTTGCCATTATAATCATAGGATCACAGGAGAGCAAGCTGGGGGGGGGGTGTACCATGGGGGGGGCAGGCACTCCAGAGTATTGGGGTGCAGTAGTAGATGTGGGGGTGTCATGAGTGGTGGGCGGAAATTTTAATTCTTGAAGAACTATGGAATTTGGGTTAGTTTCATTGATCCATATTTCTCTATTTATAATTTTTCTCTTGCAGGGCTACTAAACAAATATTTTGCCATAGAATGGGACATCTTTCTTCTCCAAGATATTGTATAATCAGTAATAAGGAGCATTTTTTTTGTAGGAATTAAATAGCTGCTGATAATACTTCTTTTGACAATCGTCTGCTATTTAAGAGCTATTTCAGATTGCATTCTAAGGAAGCTTAATTCTTAATAATTTACTCTAAAGAGGAAATATACCAATCCAGATATGATCAGTACTTCAGCCAAGGTTGTAAACATTTATAGAGTGTGTGAAATTTTTCACCTTTCAATTTCCAAACATTAGGGATGTTCAAAAGTTGTGACATGCCTTGGGGATTGTAAAGATATTTTGGTTACTTTAACATAATTTAGATGTGCTTGGTAAGTAACTACATAAATATAACATCTTCAAAAGAAAAAACAAAGTCCAGTTGCCTCCTGAAAAAGCACCTTTGGAATAATCATGACCTGGATGATTGAAAATATCTATAGACTTTTACAGAAATATAGCTTTTTAACATTTTGTTTCATTCTAAACCAACATTGCAAAGCAGATACCACTCATCTAAAACACCTTGTTGTTTCTCTTCTGTAACTCCCATGTATCCCCTCAAAACATTTTGGAGAATTGAAGGACACTACAAAAGATTTTATGTGTCTGTAGACTGGTTGCAAGGGAAGGAACATAATTCCTACTAATTTGAAAATGGTTTCTGCCTTTAGAAGAATGGCGCTATTCCTAAAAGACTGCGGTCTATCAGAATTAACAAGTTTACCAAAAAAGAAATTATGTTGAATGTGTTAAAGGACTACACTAGATTACTCAATTGGAATAAGAGTAACCGGAGACCAATCTGTATATGTATTATAATACCCTATATGTATAAATACCTTAATATGTATAAACACCTTAATATAATATTTAATGTGTAGAAACCAACAGGAAGTCCTTATTTAGCCACTGCCTTGGACAGCAACCATTTGCAGTACAATCATGATGAAAAAAATAACCTGTGATCAGTACCATTTATGAACGTCATGGTATCTGTGTCTCAGTGTCAGTTTCCCAGGTAAACTAGACAGGAAACATGACCAGATGAAATAATTCTATTTAATTTGAAGGCTATATTAACAGAATCTTGCAAGTCTGAAAGTACAGATCCCTCAGTGTCTCCTTTACAGCCTAAGAAATGACGGAATGTTCCTTTGAGCCTCTCGCCCTAATCATTATAAAGCTGAAGGCTATTCCCTTTCTTAATTGACCATGCCCTAAGCAGCATTTCACTGACCTTACTCTCAAGGTCTTTGTCACATTCCGTTACACTCAGATACGGATTCCCCATTACATTCAGTCAATATATGTTGTCCCATGCCTGATCCTTTCCCCCCCTCCTCACAGCACGGAGATATTGCCTAAACAAACAATCTCTTCCTGAGCTGCTTTTCTCCACAGCACAATACATCCCTTAAAAAAAAGTGCTAACTACAAGTTAACAAGCTCAGCTGTTACCTTCACTAGTTGATTAGAGCCTTCCAGCAAGCTGGTGCTGCTTCCTGATACTAACAAACTACTTACTAATCAGTTTCACACTAAAGGCTCTTGTTTGCCTTGTGACTTGCAGTGTGAGCTTGCTAGGCAAACAGCTGGTGCCCCTACATTGCTTTCAGTGTATATTCCTCATTGTGTTCTTGCTCACTCTCTTGAGATCCCTTCCTCTCCAGTATATGTAGATACAAACATTATTTCCTTTTTTGTTAATCATCACAGGGCTGGCGGGAGCATTCCAAAGGATGAGAGAATGGGGGGAAATGGCTATAAGATTTGACCTTTTTTCCCATTTTCCTTGTGAGTTGAATTCTGGAAACTTAACCCTAACTCCTCTCACACTTGATTAACAAAAACAAAGGAAAGCTGAAGTAAGCACAGACATGGTCACATTATTTTTCATTTAGCAACCATTTTGTTTAATCATCAAGTTGCCAGTGCCAGTTGCAGTCACTAAATGAGGACTGTCTGAACTCTCATACAAAGAGGCTCACTGAGTGACTTAGAGGGCGTCTATTCTTTCTCAGACTCACTAGCTCACAGAATTGTAGCCAATGAGAAAGTTGGAGAAGGGAGTGCTATATTTATTACGTTGAACTCCTGATGGTTCATAAATATACTGAAATATTTGAGCAATAGCATGACAGTAGGAAGAGAGCATTATGTATATTGTTTATGCCTTACTGACCTAGAGGTAATGTTTATTGTAAAATTTGTATAATTAAGCGCTAAAACTCTGTCTTTGTTTTGTTTAAAAGGATATTGAATATTCTTTTTCCCCCCCTAACAATATAGGAGTTGTCAAAGTGGATTACGGAGATGTATCAGTCAGAAAAGCATTGAGAGAAAATTTAAAATGTAAACCATTTTCATGGTACCTAGAAAATGTGTATCCAGATTCTCAGATTCCACGTCGTTATTACTCCCTTGGAGAGGTATGAATGGGGGAGAGGTTTTTTTGCAAAAGAATGTGTTTTTAAAATGAAAAATATCTCAGATAAGTAAGTGTAATTTAGTTTAGGCCTGAATTTATACCCAGTTTATACTGAGAACATTCACAGTAATTTTTAAAGCAAGAATTGAAATCAGTCTAGTTTGTAGTTCTGTTAGCACTTCGATCTTCTGGAGCATCATCATATAATTATCATTTTACTTGGTTAGATATGTTTTTGACATTCAGAAATGAAAATTATGAAGTGTGAAATCTTAAAGCTGCTGGAAGGATGTCCTTAACTAGTTTAATGAAGCTTGTCCAATTTTTACTTAATAAACAAATCCTGATCAAGTACTATTTTCCCCCTGAGAAATAGATATCTCTTTTTATATTCTTTTAGCTCTGTTGTAATAAAAAGCTAATCATTGAAGTCCAGTTTCATAAAAAGGATTGTTGAAGTGCTTAGGCAGAAACTGCCTATGGTTCAGACATTGGGTATCATAATATCCATTTTTTTAAAATGCTTGGAGAGACCATGGGTAGCCTGAAAATGTATTCACATTTTATTTAATGGACATTTCATGAGAGAACTTGGAACTCGTTCATTACTGTTAATGAAAGAAATGGAGCAAAATATGATACTTACTTTAAGACTGAGTTTTACGCTCCTTATTTAACATATTCACATTTAAAAGAGATTTCCATGTGATTCTCTTCTCAGTGATTGCTATTAGAAGTAGACATTTTCAGCTGCATAAAAAATTCCACAACATCTCCATATTTCTAAAAGGATGGTCATTATAATCTTCCATTTATGGTTCATGCAATTGTAAATGTAAAACAGGTTTTAGTCTTAGAGCTACAAAAGAAGAAAATTACCATACACAAAAACCACCAATAATGTTGAATAAATTTGGAGGACAACATTGGGATGGTGTATCTTAAAAGAGTTCTTAACAAGAAAATTGAAAGATAGTTTTCTGCATATATCTACTTATATATCTTTACTTGCCAGACTAGCCATTTTTATAGGCAGTCCTCAATTACCAACCTTAATTGGGACTGGCAGGTCCATTGCTAAGTGACACAGTTGTTAAGCGCAATATCATGTGATTGCACTGACTTACAAGGTCAATTATATCAGTTCTGTCTGCAGGTTATGAGGCAAATCAGTGTAGGTCTCATTAAATGTGATGTCACAGGACTGTGACTTGCAAATCCCTGCTGGCTTCCCCATTGTCTTTGCTTGTTGGAAGCTGGCTGAGAAGGTTGCAGATAGTCATCATGTGACTGTGGGATGCTGCAGCCATCATAAATGTGCCCCTTTTATCAAGTCATATGACTTCAACTTGCAACTTGTCCTGTCAGCTTCCCCATTGACTTTGCTATTTCCTGCCAGCGTCCCCATTCACTTCGTTTGTCAGAAGCAGGCTGCGATGGTTACAAATGGCAATCATATGACCATAGGATGCTGTGACAACCTCAACTTTGAGGACCAGTCATAAGTCTCTATTTTCAACATTGTTGTAAATTTAAATGTGAATGGATGCTAAGTGGTCGGCAATTGAGGATTACCTGCAAGGATTACCTTGCAGTGTCTTTAGGAGATAGGATATATAAATAAGAAGTGATTGTGTGGAGAGTCAGAACTAATGAAGTCCTGGCAAGCTTCCAGAGTAAGGACAGTAGCAATGATTTACACAAAATCCCAAAGCCTCATTACCTTTATCTGTTTACCAATTTTCTCAGTTCAGAACATTTATCCACTTTAATTGTCTTAAGCATTTTTAGCTTTGTAAGATACAAAAGCCCGGTACAAAAAGTCTTTAATTGTTTTCCACAAAAAAGAAACAGCATTGCCTATATAAAATATTTTCCAGGCTGAAATATATAGCAGAGATTTACCTTGTATTGATAATATTGCTCGAATGATCTGAAGCTTTTCTTCAAGGATAATGTTTGGAAGGTCTTCTAAAATACAGTGTAAAGAATGCTGAGAAACAAATAGAATGTTATTTGTGCAAGTAAGATAGGGCACAGTGTACATTCTTTCTTGTTATCTTTCATGGAAAACTACCAAGGCTATCACTTCCCAAAAGCAGTACCTTGGAAAGGTTAGTTTTCATAGAAATTATTTCTTCTGCACAAATGAAAATGGTGGTTCTGTTTATTAGACAAAATTACAATTAACACAATGTAATATTTTATTTACAAATAACATATGCCTGGTTCCCAGTGCATCTAATGGCACTGAGTAGACACACTTATTGGAAACTAACTCATGCTGAGTTATGACTTAGGGTAAGCATGTTTGTGTAATTTGGCATCATCCTAAATTTTACATGATTTCAAAAACATGATTTCAAAATTCCTGCTATTTTTCCCCCTTAACTATAAATCTTGTAATAATTATTATGAAATTTACCTGGTTTTATTTTTCTCCACAGATCAGAAATGTTGAGACAAACCAATGTTTAGATAACATGGGGCGTAAGGAAAATGAAAAAGTAGGCATATTCAACTGTCATGGCATGGGAGGAAATCAGGTAAATATACCCTATTTTAAAAAATATTTTTGAGGCTTAGCACATTGATATAGGCATTAATGTTGGAGGGGTGGAAGTGACAAAATAAACATTACAATATCACAATAAAAGGTTCTGTCCTTTTGTGCCTGTGTGGAGAAACTGTGCACATATAAGGGATAGAAAAGGCTGAGAAAGAAATAATTCATAAGGTTGTGTGCATTACAGATAGTGTTGCTATGATGCTGTTGTTTCATCGTTCCCTATCCTAGAACACTTTAAACATTTTGCTTCCATTAGAACTTGAATAGTTTGAAACATGGTGTAGATCCATTTTCCTCCCAAAATCTGAATGCTTAAGTAATGCTTATTTTCCTAGTGCACGGGTAGGGAAACTTGGCTCTTTTATCACTTATGGACTTCAACTCCCAGCATTCCTGAATGAGCCATAAAAGGTTCCCCATCCCTGGCCCACTGCTTTTTCAGTTGTAGGGGAAATCAGTTTTTGACTTGAATGTGAGTGTCCTACATTGGTATATTAAACAGTCCCATTCAAGTCAAAAACTGATTTCCCCCGCAACTGAAAAACCAGTAGGCCAGGGATGGGGAACCTTTTATGGCTCACTCAGGAATTCTGGGAGTTGAAGTCCATAAGTGATAGAAGAGCCAAGTTTCCCTACTCCTGTACTAGTGAATCAACACAGGATAAAATCAAATTTAGTAAAAAAAAATACTGGATGAAATATCTGTTTAAGTGATTTGAAGCTTCATTGAGATGTCAACAATTATATTACAAGCTTGTCCTATATCAGGGCTGTCAAACTCCCGGCCCACAGGCCAGATGTGTCACACACTGGCCATGCCCATGCCTGGTTTAGCGAAGGGGAAAAAAGTCTGGATACATCACGTGATGCCACCGTGATGACGTGGGTTTGACACCCCTGTCCTACATTGTGCTACATTATGCTGGGCTTTGCTTTAAGATATATTACAACGTCTTACGTGAACAAAGTAAGTAATTTTCCCTATTTTTCTTAGACAAATTCCATCCCATTATCCCTACTATATTTTGATAGTTCTCAGACAAAAGTGCAAATGCTAGTCCATTTATAACAGATTACAAGAGATGGAGTAAAAAAGAATTGAACAGAGAGGCTTTTTCCCATTGTTTTAAAGAAAATTAATTCAGAGCATTGGAAATTTTTTTTTCATAATAATATCACTTTAAATATACAAGTATTTAATTTCCTACAACTTTAAATTCAGTGAAAGTAAATGTCCAATGCTTCATTGACTATATAAAGGCATTTTATTGCAATGAGCATGCCAAATGGTGAAATGTCCTTAACAAAGATGGGAATCTTGAACCATCTTTTATGCGAACTCTAGACACAGGACAGGAAATCACAATCTGAATAGAATGTGGCAAAACAGACAGGCTTCCGGTCAGGATAGGAGTAAGATAAGACCGTATCCCCTCTCCTCCTTTATAAAATCTATAGGCTGAGCAAATATTGTGAGGTGGGGGTCTGAATTGCAAGATTAGCATAGTTTTAAAATTAGAGGCAGAAACATCATAAGCTTGCACTGATGACACTACTCTGATAACTGAAAATGCAAATGATCTGCAAGTTCTAGTAATGAAAGTCAAGGAGCACAATTTTTTAAAAAATGGGACTACGGTTAAAATAAAGAAGACCAAACTAATGAGAACAGGTATAGCACCCAGTCTTAGTACTGACGACGAAGATGTTGATGTAATGGATAATGTCATCCTTTTAGGATTAACTATTAATAGTAAAGCCATTAGCAGTCAAGAAATACACTGCAGGTTAGTTCTTAGGGGCGTATAGTGAAGGTCTTGGAAAAAATACTCAGATATTAAGATATGTCTATACCTACAAAAATGAGAATCACGCAGGCAGTAGTTTTCCTTTGTGACACTTTATGGAAGTGAAAGTGGACTTTGAAGAACCAGGAGCAAAAGAGAATCACTGCTTTTGGATTTTGGAATTGGAGAATACCCATGAGAATACATGAGTAGCCAAACCAACAAATGGAACAAGTTAATCCAGAATTCTTATTCAAGGTACAAATGATCACCCTCAAATTATATTGTGGAGACAAGATGTGAAGGCATGGCTGCCTTGAGAAGTCTATAGCTATGGAAAGAAAGAGAGAGGATAACCAGCAGGAAGGTAGATGGACAATTGCAGCAGTGATATGTGCACCACTGGGATATCGGAAAGGCCAGGTTGGAGACTGAACATACCTATGTGGTTGCTAAGAGTCAATATTGACTTGATGGCACATCATGAAAAGTATAATCTGCCCAGAGTGCTGCTTTGATGCCCTGGAGCCTGAATCCAGAGTTGGGGTATTCAGCAGGTTCTGACCAGTTCTGGAGAACCGGTAGTGGAAATTTTGAGTAGTTTGCAGAACTGGCAAATACCACCTCTGACTGGCCCCGCCCCCATCTATTCTCTGTCTCCCAAGTCCCTGCTGATTGGCTGGGTCTTCTTTTGTTGCCTCGCACAGGAGAACAGAGCTGGAAAGCAGGTTAGTGGGGTGGAGAGGGAATGGGATTTTGCAGTAACCTTCCCCCAGGAATGGGGTGAGAATGGAGATTTTATAGTATCCTTCCCCTGCCACGCCCACCGAGCCATGCTACGCCCACCAAGCCACGCCTACAGAACCAGTAGTAAAAAGATTTGAATCCCACCACCGCCCCAATCCCCTTCTGATTACACTGCTGCATTTTCTGTTTATTTTATTTATTACATTTATTTATTTAAATTTATATACTACCCATCTCACTATCCAGAGTGACCCCGGGAAGCCTACAATACAATTTTTTATGTTGAACTGGAAAGAAAAAAAATGCCACCCTCCCTTTCCCAATTAACAGAATGACAATAGAATAACAGAATAACAGCGTTGGGAGGGATCTTAGAGATCTTTTAGTCCAACTCCCCAGTTCAAGCGGGAAACCCCGTATCATCCTAGACAAGTGGTTGTCCAGTCTCTTGGAGCATCCACAACTTCTGAAGGCAAGCTGTTCCACTTACTGTCTCACTTTTAAAAGATCGTTCATTCTAAGTTAAACAGGAAGGCTTATTCTTAGCACCAAGGACATAACAAATACGAACCTTCTTACAGATGTAAACTAGTCAAATTCAGCTTCCAGGCACATTCGGCTCTGATTTTGAATCACTGTAACTAGGAGTAATTCAATTTTTTTTTTTTTAAATCATTTATCAGCTGCCTTATAGCTGGTTGTTATAAGAGCTTTTTTTTTTCCACCTTAAATTCAACTGGGACGTTCCTTTTGCCAGTTATTTACAAAAATATGTAATTCTTGAAGGCTATTTCTGACATTATTAAAATAATTTGTAGAAATAATGTACTTTAAGGGATTGCAGGGTCTTTAAAAGGAAGTAGAACAACAAGATAGAAATTGATACAAATGTATTGATATGTCATAATGACTGTCACTCAATTTATGACGATAGCAAGATAGTCCTATATCCACATTTACATTTTAAAAGAAGTATATAGAGAACATTACCTCCTCTCACATAGATACACAAATTCTGTAAGTTTTTTCTAATAAAGGATAAACTTCAAGTGTCTCATAAAACTAATTTTATATAGTGCAGTAGGCATATTCAATTCAGTAAATTAAAATATTAGGTGCAATTGATACGTTCAAAAAATCAGCAATATAATATTTTATTCAAAAGAATATCCAATCACCTGGCTTATGCATTTATATTATCCTTCCCAAATGAACTTGACCATTGCACTTCGGTTACTTATTTTAAATTAATGCAAGAGTCCTTTACTTATATAGACCAACATCATCTGAAATAGCAATAGCACTTATACTTATATACCACTTCACAGTGCTTTATAGCCCTCTCTAAGTGGTTCAGAGTCAGCATATTGTCCCCAACAATTTGGGTCCTCAGTTTACCCAAATTGGAAAGATAGAAGTCTGAGTCAACCTTGAGCCTAGTGAGACTTGAACTGCCAAATTGCAGGCAGCTGGCAGTCAGCAGAAGTAGCCTGCAGTACTGCACTCTAACCACTGTGCCACCATAATGGCAATAAGTAACCCGGTATATTTTCTTCATACATTTAAAAAATGTTTTCCATGAAAAGGGCTCCTATTCCCTTAACTGCCCAAAAATATATGAATGATAAATTAAGAATTAAAGTATTTTTACTTCCTGCATGCTACTAGAAGTTGCTTATATAAACTATTTACATGTGTATAGTTGGAGTGTAAGCCTTTGCGACATTCTTTTATAATGAACTTTGCATCATGTGTAACTAAATATTAGGGTATTAACAATAAATTGTGATTAAATCTGTTTTTAATCTTTTTCCTTTAGAATAACGTGCCTAATTGGTAACTTAGAATGTTTTTCATATATTCTTTAATTGGTAATGCAGTCAAATTCAATTAGTACACTTCGCCAAAGGCAGCATTCTGTAGTTCAACGGCAAAAGGTTGCTTTCAACAATTAAGAGAGAACACTTTTGCTCTGCTTTTGATTAGAATACTTTTAAGTTGGTTGAGAGGTGAATTCAAAATAATTGGGAGCCTTGTAAATAATTAAAATAGATGCCACTTATATTGCTTTAATTTCACTTAATTTTATTTGGACCAAGGTCTGGCTTCAAATCAAGCGGCAGCTTGGAATCAGTAATTTCTACCTCTCCCCTTCAAAATGTTTCTTCTTAACAAAACTTAACAATAACAGAGTTGGAAGGGACCTTGGACCTTCTCACCCAACCTCCTGCACATTTCAGACAAATGGTTGTCCAAGCTCTTCTTAGAAACCTCCAGTGATGTTCCACTGATTAATTGTTCTCATGGTCAGGAAATTTCTACTTTGTTTTAGGTTGCTTCTGTTCTTAATTAGTTGTCTTGCTGTCTGGTGCTTTGGAAAATAGGTTGACTTCCCCCGCTTCTTTGTGGCAGCCCTTCAATATTGGAACATTGCTATCACATCACCCCTCTTGCTCTTCTCTGCACTCTTTCCTTTCTTCTCTTTCATTCTTTCTTTTCTCACTGTTTCATCTTATATTTCCTCATTTTTACATTCCGGATATAACCAGCTACAATTCTGTTATAACCTTGCCGCATCTAAAGCCTTCAGCTGCTCCAAGTCAGTCTTGTGCAGTACATATTGGGGAGTGGGATATTCATCAGCAGTCCGTAAAGATACCAGAATCATAAAAAGTACAGCATGTCCTCATGATTCAAAAATCTGTTTTTTCATACTTGTGTTGCAACATTGCATTCAAATACATAAAAAGTAGATTTTTGCATCACCAAATGCAGCATTGCATCATATCACACGTTTCATTTCTTAATCCCTCTTGTCTTCCTCCCCCCAACATCTATGGTATATTCTGCGTGTATATGTAAATATTTCAAATCTAAAAACCTACTAAAGATATTCCTATCACTTTCAAATTTTGAAGCAAAAGAGGTCAGCATGTTTTTGTGTATCTCTTCTTGGAGAAACAGCCACCAACATTAGATCTTATGAAAATACAATTTTATTTATGCATTTGTGGATGCAATTTTTATACACCCAACTGCAAGCGATTTTGGGTAGCTTACAAATTAAAGTAACTTCTTGTTGCAATGTACAGCTTTGTTCATGGGGGGCAAATGCCTTTTCCTAGACCCACTCTGACTAATGGAAAGAAGACCAAATAGCAAGGGAAACTTTATAGTCCAATTCTTGTATTATCATATATTCTCCCTTCTCTGGGAAATATAAAACAAGAACTTGCTTTGTATGGCTGCCAACACAGTAAAGTCAGCTCTCCAGAAACTATGCTGGAAAAACAACAACAATGTATCCACCTCTCCTGTATTATTTGCATGAATCTTGTTAAGAATGGTCATGTGCTATTTTTAATATTTATAGCATGATTAATTTTAAGCTATTTGAGAACTTATGTTTCACATTTATATCACACCATAAGGTGCTTCACAGGGCTGAATTCTATCATCCCTAAAATGAACTTATAAGGAGTTCAGTAATATTACCTCATATTTCAGGGACCATTTAAGGCACAGGCTACTTATCAAATTAATTGGTATTAGAAGACTTGAACCAAGTACCTTTGATGTAGATCTTAAATGTCTCTCAGGCTATGTCAACCTAACAATACATCAATCTATTTAACAATGAAACAGTAATGGCATACACGAAAATTAAATCTGCATAATTGAATTATACTTCTGAGAAACTTGATTTTTTTTTAATATTCTCAACTGTATCTCCATTAGAATCAACCTTTTCATGAACAGCATTTGAGCATTTATTTACATGATTAAAATATCCCAAAACTTGAACTTACTGAAAATGTATTTGTGCTTTATTTTTGTCCTCATAACCGCTCCCTGCGTACAGAATTTATTTTTATGTTTTAATTGCCTGCTACCGTTTGTAATAGAGTATTGTAATAGAGTATATGACATTCAGGCTTCCCTAGTCACTCAAAGGGCTCTTGCAATCAAAATCCATCCTAGTAATTCTAGTGGGTTTTTTTTAGCAGAATCAACCCTATTTTTCTATAAATGTCTGCTACGAATCTTGGAATAATTAATGGTTTGTACATGGAAGGCAATTGCCAAGATTATCATTACAGACTATTTTGAAAAAGAAGCACTATATTTGACTACTGAAATGCAAGCCCTATTAAATTCAATGACGCTTACTGCCATAAAAATACAGTGTACGCAACTTTAATCTTAATAATCAAGTAATACAACACAATTCCATATCCGGTTCTGTAACTTTAACTTTACAAGAGTATTTCTGAGCAGCGATGTATAGAATTTCATTCTTAAATTGCTTTTCAGAGAACACGATCTAGTTCATTGTATTACTTCGCTTTTCATTTAGTTAAGATAACGTAATCCTCGCTTAATGATGGTGATCGGGACTGGAATTTCTGTCACTAAGCAAAACAGTTGCAAAATGCAATGTCACGTGACTTGCCTAGCGAAGCCAGTTCTGGCACTTTAAAGTTGCCATTATTAAGTGAATTCTACAGCATCATTATGCATGACAGTACGCTGTCGCCATTTGCAATCTCCTACTGGCTTCCTCATTGACTTTGTGGAAAACTGGCAGTGAATGTTGCAGAGGGTGATCACATAACTGCAAGATGCTGCTACCTATAACTGCAAGCTGATTGCCTTGAGCCCAGATCATGTTGATGTGACTACAGAAATGCTGTGATACCTGCAAGAACAAGGACCAGTTATAAATACTACTATTTATAGTAGTATTTAGTAGCGCTGTCATAAATTCAAATAGTGAGTTAATGAGTGGTTATTACATGAGGACTATCTATACATAATACAGTAGGAAACAAATTACAGATTTCCTACTGCTGATCTGTCACCTGAACTCAAAGCCAAAATCTTTGTTGTGCGTATTCACAAATCTTTGGAATGGCTAGATCAAGGGTGTCACACTCAAGACCCATGGGCCAGATCCAGCCCACAGGATGCTTAGACCCAACCCACAGAACTGCCCTCGAAACAGTGAAGGACTGTCCCGTGATGCCTCTGCCAGCAAAAAACGGAGCTTGGGAGAGGCGCGTACAACCCTTCCGAGCTCCATTTTTGCTGGCAGAGCACTGCTGGAGGCCCCTGGAGGCGCCCCCGAGTGATGTTGAGCTCGCCACTCCCATCCTGGTCACATGCACCTGCCATGCCCACTCCTTGAGGTCAAACACAACCCTGATGCGTCGCTCAATGAACTTGATTTTGACACCTCTGGGCTAGACAATGGATGAAATGAGAGTTACCAGGTTTGAAACAAAATACATGTTTTCTGTATGCTTTCCATGTCCATGTTAACTTTTTCTCTTATGCATTAGCTGTAATTTTACCAATAGGACCTCTCTCTTCCAGGTATTTTCATATACTGCCGACAAGGAAATTCGCACAGATGATTTATGTTTGGATGTCTCTAGGCTCAATGGGCCTGTAATTATGCTGAAGTGCCATCACATGAGAGGAAATCAACTTTGGGAATACGATGCTGAGGTATTTATTCAAATACAGAAATGAAGCATATTTGAACAATATTATTGCTTGCCTGCAGCTAACAAATAAAAGGCTAAAGCAGTAACTCTCAACTTGGCCAACTTTTAAGATCTGCAAATTCCAGCATGCTGGCTGGGGAATTCTGGGAATGGAAGTCCACAGGTCTTTAAAGTTGCCAAGGTTGCGAAGGTTCTTTAGCAAGTTGCTAAACCTGTTAAGAAACGTTTTCACCATTGTTTCTTCCCCCTTTATTTTCAGATAAATTGGGGGTGTAAGTGCAAACTTTGCGTCTCTTTCCATTATAACTCCATCTCGCACGTAAATGATTATTCCTTCGACCACCGTAACCTCTTCTAAACCTGAGATTTCTGTACAATGGAGCCTGAAGGCAGTGACTCACATTTGTTAGGTTATTCAGTGCATTTAAAGAGGATCTTCACAGAATGTGGGAGCATGAAGCGGTACCCCCCATTTTCTTTTAGAAGGCATCTACAGCTGCTTCAAAAACTGTTTCCCTCAGAATATGGGCGCATGAAATGACTTCATTTCAGGGACTCTTTTTAGCCATTTCCGCACTTCTTTACAAAACAGGATTGCACAGGATTTAAAGAATGAGGATAAGCTGTCACGATTCCTGTTCCTCTGATCTGAAGTGAGAAAGTCTATTAGGTGATAAGGCATTGACATGCTTGGAAGTCAGACAATTCAATCTTCTTTCCTTTGCTAGGCCCTCTTAGGCCTAGCATGGCAAACATTCTTGTGGAAAGCATATCCACAAATCTGAATCAGCCATAGGGTCTTATAAATAAGTAAAAGTTATTGACAAAAGGATAAAGCTAGCTTACTAAAGTAAATAGTGAGGCACACAGTTAGGAAAATCATTAATTTCTATAGCAAAAAGTTCGTATAGTTAGTTCTATGTACCGAGGTGGGCTAATCTAGCAGGGATCTAAATTAGATGGGCCAGCGAGTCCATCTTGAAGGTCCATCACAGAACATCCTACAAAGCACATTAAGCTCGATTTTTTGTTTGTTTGTTTGAAGGGGTGGGTTGTATTAACAGCTCTCCCCTCTTCTGAGCAACAGCAAAAACAAAAGAGTACAACTGAGTAAATTATGTCAGTATTTAACTCCATACCTGGGTCAGGAAGAAGCTAGTTGTTGGACTCCCTTCTATATTTGCAGAAGGACACTGCTTGACAGTGAACTTAATGAAACAGAGCAGCTGTTGCAGCCAGCCTAGTGTTAATTTCAGATATGACAGATGGGTCTTCATCACCCTGGGATTATACTTTCAAGTTCACGTGGAAAATATATTCCTATCTACTGTAATTTTGAACCTTACAATTTATGCAGTGATCTGTTTCCCAATAAACCAGCTATATTTATTATTTCAAGGAAGTTTTCATTATCTGGGAATGATATGCTGCATAATAAAACATGCATTCCCATAAAATATTGTGACTAGGTGCATAATTCTTCACCCATAAATACTAAGCCAGCAGGATGTTTGGGATGCAAAACATACATTATGCAATTTCATTACTGCAAGAAGACATGTTATAAATATATGAGATACAGTCAAATTCTTGCAACGTTGAAAAAGAAAGAACAATCCATGCCATTTCACTGACAAATATTTAGCTTTATTTTATTTTTTTTTGGGGGGGGGGAATATTTAAGATCAGATGTACTCACTCAAGAAGAAAAACTTTATATGATACATATGTGTATTACTTTTCCACTTCAATATACAGGTTTTTGCTGTTATTACTGATTCATTACTATATTGAAGCTCATGCAATTTAATTTATGTTTGTTTAAAAAAAAATCAGATGACAGTTTTATAATTTTTATACAATTCAGTATTAAAAACCAACCATTTTAATAGTTAGTTTGAAACTATGTTTATAAGGAGATAAATAGTTTGTAGCAAATGTTGCATGTGGCATATTTGAAAATAAATGTCACCAGAGTTTTTTGAAGCTATGTCTTAGAAGCTTATAGAAAGTCACGATTGCAAAATCAGAATCAGCCATTAGATGGAGCCAGAAAAAAGGAAATAGTTTGTAGTTCTATGACCAGAAACTCATAGAAAAGGCAATTTGTCTGAGGAATCATTTTGTTGTAGTGCTAGCTTAACAAGTTGAATTAAGAAAGATGGAAAACCCCACAAAATTCCAAATGTATTATGGCAGGGTAAAAATATATTTTTATTGTGTTATCATTATTGTAATTTACAAATAGTGATTTGATTTAAGGTATTTTGGATTGTGATTTTAGTTTTTATAAATTGGAAATGGAAATGGTTAGTTCACGATTTATAAGGATTAATAGAATTTTATTTAATGTCAAAATAACACCAAAGTCTCTTTACTCTTGGTATTCTATACACTTACTTTTTTCTTCAGTAAGCATTTCATGAAAACAGAGAAGTATTGAGGCAACCCAACCACCTTAAGGAACTTACTCATCTTAAATTATGCTGAACTGGACCTAGAGAGTCCCAGGAACTATGGCATTATCAAATGACTCTGTTGATACCCTAGTGCGGAGCTGTCAAACTCGCAACACACAGGCCAGATGCGTCATGAGCTGGCCACACCCACACCTGGTTTAGCAAAGGGGAAAAAGTTGCAATACGTCACGTGGTGATGCCATGATGACACAAGTTTGACACCCCTGCCCTAGCGCATTGAAGCTGACTAATATATGGCAGTTCAGTATTGTTAAAAACGGGTGTTCCATACGGTGCAAAAAATATATAGTCTTTTATGACTTCTAAAAATCTTCTAATATTCTTTTATGCATCTTGGAATGAGAAATTAAAAGGTAAAAGGAGGCAATAACAGGACTTCTATAACAGTATTTCTCACTTATTAAACCAAGCGTTTCTATCTTAGTGTGCATTTGTGTGTGTGTGTGTGTGTCTGTGTGTGCGCGCGCGCACGCATGCATGCATGTGCATGTAGCTTTGAGTGAGTGTTGATTTCAGGCGACTGCCTGGATTAGTTCCTGCAGTTTTCTTAGCAAAGTTTTCAAAAGTTGCTGAGGATTGACTGGCCCAAGGTCACCCAGTTGGCTTTGTGTCTAAGTGGGAGTAGAACTTTCAGTCTCTTGATTACTAGCCTTGTGTTTTAACCACTACAGCATATAGGGAGTATTAATTCTGATCCAACTTGCAGCCCTGGACATGGGTTAAGAATTTCTCCTATGCTGTTTTTCTTTCTTTCTTTCTTTCTTTCTTTCTTTCTTTCTTTCTTTCTTTCTTTCTTTCTTTCTTTCTTTCTGTCTGTCTGTCTGTCTGTCTGTCTGTCATCTCTGGGTGGCACATAACAATCAGATCAAAACCACAGACACATGCCATGATCACATATCCAGGCCTCAAACTCGGAGCCAAACCAAAACCCAGAACGTCACATCACAGCCACCCGCTCAGGATATCACATCACGGAACTCAGGAGGTTATACCACAAAACTTCAGGATGTTGCAACACAGCCAATGACCCAGGAGATTACAGCACAAGACCCAGGATGTCACAACAATAGAACTCAGAAGGTCATCACACAGCCTGTTACCCAGGTCGTTACAACACAGGAGGCTGATAGACACACAGCCAATACCTCAGCCACACATGTTCTGATGAAAAAGCCAGCCAATCTGCAAACATCAACTCCATCAACCAATCAAGAAATGATAACACAGCCAACCTCCCCACCAGTATATATAGGGAGACGGCAGCTCCAATCATGCTTTGCTCGCACAAGCACGAAGCCAAAAGCACCAGCCTGAAGATGGCGAATGGGACCTCATCGAAACGTTGCCAAGATGCTCTCAATCTTACATGGAAAAAGACCCAAACATGCCAAGACCTGCATACCTGTACCCATGAAAATCTATGAAAACACACACACACACACACACACACACATGTATATACATACACACACACAAATCACATCAACAGAGGCACAAACCGTAAGGGAAGAGAGGATAAAAATAATCAGCTCAGCAATGGAGCCATCTAAGCAAGTCTCCACTTCCCTGGGAGGTCCAAGCCCAATAATTTCAACCAGGTCTTGAGGGCCTTCCAGAATGTCAAAAAAGGTGGAGCTAATCTAATTCCAGGAGGAAAACTATTTCATAAGATGGGCACCACAAAGGCACTTCTCCTGGGACCCACAAAATATAGATCCTTAGTAATGGCACTTGCAGCATACCTTCTCTGCCAGATCTAACAAGGTGGGCTAATATTCAGTCCATGCTCTGAACGGCTTTAAATGTCAAAACCAGCCCTTTGATTGAGACTCAGAGGCAGAGATGGTATTCAGCAGGTTCTGACCAGTTCTGGAGAACTGGTAGCGGACATTTTGAGTAGTTCGGAGAACCGGCAAATCCCACCTCTGACTGGAGATTTTACAGTATCCTTCCCCTGCCACGCCCACCAAGCCACACCCACAGAACTGGTAGTAAAAAAAATTGAATCCCACCACTGCTCAGAAGCAAATTGGCAATCGGTGCAGCTTGTGGAGCAGAAATGTAATATACACTGCCATTGCATTCTGGGTCAGCTGAAACATCTAGGCAGCCCCATTTTAAAAACCCCAATCTTATTTCCCTCCTGCCATTATTTCCTGAATGGAAAAATATAGATACTGTGCAGATAGAATACATATATTGGAATCTGTTTCTTCTTTTTAAAGGGTGAGGTGGTGGGGGAATATAATTGTGGTGGTGGTGGTGGTGGTGATGATGATGACGACAGTGATAAAGATGATGCAGCTTTTGTGAAGATTTCATCACTTTCAGTTTTTATCTTCCTTCCTTCTCCCTCCTCCTCCATGACCCACATGCAGCATTTACAACTGTCAACAAAGGTGATTTGTCCCCTAATCCAAACTTGTCAATTATTCTCTAGCCCACATTTCCCCAAAATCAGATCATTAGAGGCATACATGAAAGAGTTGCACGTGCCTTTTTTTCCCTTTATGTATTTGTA